TGGGTGACCCTGCTTCGGCAGGGGGGTTGGACTAGATGACCCACAGAGGTCCCTTCCAACCCCTACTATTCTGTGATTCTGTGATTCTGTGACACCACCGACAGCCACGAGACGCAGCAGGAAAAAAGCTCACTGAAGAGCAACAGCCTGCGGTACTTCAGGCTATTCGCTTTGTCAAGCCTGGGACTGCCAGCCCATGCCAAGCGCTGCTGGCAAACCGGCTCCCGTGCGGGCTGCGCAGTGCCGAGGGCTGCGGCGAGCTCTCCACACGCCCCCTCCAGCCAAGCCACGCAGCTGGCGTAAGCCGTGCCCAGAACCAGCCGCCGTTTAACTCCGTCCACCATAACCAGCCGCCGTTTAACTCCGTGCACCATTGCCAGAAACTGGCTCCAGGTCCCCGGAAGAGGAAAGCGCTCCGCGTGCTAGCTTGGCAAAGCTTCAGGACCAGAACAGAGGGTGTCTGCAGACAGCAGCCCCCCCCGTTCCTACACCCCCTGCTCCATCTGCTTCCGGCATGGAGAAAGGGCCCGTGCCATGGGAAGCGTTAGGCCAGTGGAGCTCAAGACCAGCTCTACCGTAACACAGCGGAGCTAGAGGAAGGAAGCACGCTCCTGCTAGCAGCTCTCCCCCGGTCTCTGACAGCACGAACCCCAGCTGGACTGCTGCTCTTGCCACAGAGATGACGGGGCCGAAACGCTGAACGCCAGCCTTGCTCAGTGACAAAAGAGGCCCGAAACTTTCTTCTCCCTCCCCATTTCAAGCACACCGGTGAGCTGGGAGCTGCTTGCTGCCCGCAGGGCCCCACGTCTCCCCTGGACTGGGTCACTCACCGGTGCTGGACTCAGCCGGGTCCTCTTCCATTTCTGTCTCAGGCTGGTCTTCCCTGCACAGCTCCTCTTTTTGGGCGCTCAGGGACATGACATTCAACACCAGGATGGGGCGTTCTGTTTCCAGAGAAGAGCGATTTTAAACACCCATGGCGAGCTCCCACCTTCCTGCTTTGGTGTGATGCTAACCAGAGATGTGCTGGGTGCGTGCAGAAGAGCCAGAGAGCTGCGGCTCAAGAAGCCATGGCATGCTGCGCCAGGGGGGATTTAGATTGGATATTAGGAAAAGATTCTTCACCAAAAGGGTTATCGAGCACTGGAACGGGCTGCCCAGGGAAGGGGTTGAGTCCCCACTCCTGGGGGTCTTTAAAAGACGTGTAGACATGGCGCTTAGGGACACAGTTTAGTGGGGGCTTGGCCATATTGGGTTCAGGGTTGGACTCGATGCTCTTAAAGTTCTTTTCCAAGCTCAGTGATTCTGTGATTCTATGGAAAGCATGTGAGGTGTCGGAGGGAACCGGAGTGAAGCCACACACAAGGACCAAGAGCAGAGGGAGGGCTGGGAGGAAAGACACCGAGATGTCACGTGCTGTCACCTCTGCAGAGCAACCTGATCCCTCCTAAACCCTCCCCACCAACTCAACAAGCAGCATTCCCACACCGCCTTGCGTTCAGCCCTCCAACCCCTTCCATTTTCCCTGGCAGCACCTTGACAACAAACCCCAAAGCTTCTGCTTGTCCCTGGCGATGCTCCTCTTAAGCACGGTGACCTGCCGTGCCCTGTCCCACAGGCACTGCTGGGGGACCTCCTGCAAGAGCTGCAACAGGAGTGGCCCGGGGAAGCAAGTCCTCCTGGCACCCACCTAACTTACCCGCTTCAGCTTCCACAGGGACTTTATCTTCTCCCAAAGCCTTTTCCTTCTGGTCCTTTTCTTCTGGTGTCTGCAGGGGCTCCGGACCATTGGGGACATCTGTCTGCAGGGGTACTGGACCATCTTCGATGCGTGTCTGCGGGGGCTCCGGACCGGTTTTGATGCAGAGCTCTTCATCCCTCTCGATCTGGGACAGGACGTCAGGCTTGGCCACAGCGTAGTCTGCTGGCGGGGCAGAGGACAATGAGTTGCGTTAGGAACTGGCTGCACCTTTATTCTGTCGAACCTTCTGTCCCTCACCCCAGAGCCAGCAGGCAGGACAGACAGACACAAATAAATTACCCAAGCTCTAACGAGAAAGCAGGTGCTGCTTTCTTGGCAGGATCCACCCATGAGCACGGCTGAAGCTCAAGTCCAGTGAAGATCTAAGTCACAGAATGTGAACCAAAGCCTCAAAGGACGGGGACAGCCTCTCTCTATGTAACTTCTTTTTCCTCTCTTCCCAGGAGCACTCGACAAACCCTCGAATGCACGCTCGTGGCTCGTATCGCTTCTGGGTAACGCTCCCCAAAGGACCTGCCCTGCCCTCTGCGCCCCGCCAGCATTCACCTGGCCTCTCCTGGGGCTTCTTAAACCCCCAACTCCTCAGTCCTGCAGGGAAGAGCTCTCGATCGCAGCTCTGTCAGGGTCTGCCTGTCCGTCTCCAGCATCTCCTACCTTCTTGCCCAGCCTTTGCGCTCTTACCAATTGATTTCTCCGACTCTCCCGTGCCGTGTCCCAGGGCCCTCCTGACCGCTTCTGCTCCCCCCAGCTCCAGCAGAGCTGCTCCAGCCCCCTCCTCCCACTGCAGGTTCCCAGGTTCCTCACTTCCCACCACGTCTCCTCTCGCACGGAGGCGAGCAGGAGCGTCTTTGGAAGCCCTAGGGCTCGTGCATGCAGTCGGGTGAAGGAGCATTGCCAGACTGCACAGAAAACGGGACTGGAAGGGATCACAAGAAGTCTGTCACCCCACTCCAGACTCCACCCCAGCCCCTCCCAACAGGCTTTGTCTGTTTGTCTCTTCAGAACTCATCTGACCAAGCATAAACGTTTCACTTGGAACAAAGAGTCAAGGTACTCTGCAGAGGTTTAACCCATGCAGTCAACAGACCCTCAGAGCAGTTCATTTCTAACAAAGACACTGCTGGGAGATCTCCTGAGAAAGCTGAGACAGGAACTGGCACCCACCTAACTTACCCGTGTCAGCTTCCTCGGGGACTTCATCTTCTCCCAAAGCCTCTTCCATCTGGTGCGTCTCTTCTGGTGTCTGCGGGGTCTCTGGACCTTCTCTGGCACATGCCTGTCGGGGCTCCGGACTGTCTTGGATGTGTGTCTGCAGGGGCTCCAGACCACCTCGGATGGGTGTCTGCAGGGACTCCAGACCATCTCGGATGGGTGTCTGCAGGGGCTCCAGACCATCTCGGATGGGGGGCTGCCGGGGCTCCCG